ACATAACGGTACTGGGGTATGTACTATTCATTAGTAGTAGGCTATTATAATGAATCTGTCAAGGTTAAAGGCGACTGGAAGGATTTTTGACTGTGTTGTTTTATCATCAGTAGATGTGAACATGTTTACTGACATAAATTGTATGTGTGTATGTTTGAAATATAATGTCTATTTCAACCACATTTTGCATCTAGTTTGTTTGTAATTAGTGTATGAACAGACCTGCTCAGAGAAAAACATCATTCACATTATAGAATTCGGCTCATGTTTTCACAATCATGGTTGCCTTTCTATGCAGTTTATTTTCTGACAGAAAAAGATACAGATGGGTACTTAAAATTAAAAGTAGGACGAGACTGGCAACAGTGTATTTGATTAAGAACCAGAAAGACCTTAAGCCTACATTGTGTCATTCACTTTTCTGGCTCTCCGGTAGATATTTAGAAGTAAGACTTCTTATTTCTTCTTTGATTTTCTTATTCTTTTTGTTGTTGTAATTTAAAATCTATCTCTCTCTCTTTCTCTCTCTCTCTTTCTCTCTTTTTTTTTCTCTCTCTCTCTCTCTCTCTCTCTCTCTCTCTCTCTCTTTCTTTCTCTCTCTCTCTCTTTCTCTCTCTTTCTCTCTCTCTCTCTCTCTCCCCCTCTCCCTCCCTCCTTCCCTCTCTCTGTCCCATCCCCTATCCATCTCCCTCTCCCCCTCACTATACCTCTTCATCTCTCTCCTTCCTCACTCTATAGATCTGTTACCTTTCATTGTCCTGTTCTCTCTCTCCTTTTCTCTAGTTTATCTCTCACCATTATTACTCTCTCATCAAACATTTATGACTGTGTATGATCATACAGCATATCTGTAAACAATCTCAGCGTGAGTAACATTCTCAACAGCAATTATTGGTTGCTACTGTAGAAAGACATGATCCTTTGAAGAACAAAAATGTATCGTACTGACAGTAATACTGTACATGTTATCTGAACTATTTCAGTTTAGTTTAAATTACCCACTACTACGTTAGCAACAGTTCTCTATTTCAAAATACTCTACAAGATAACAAAGCACTTTTTAATTTATTTATTTACCACTATTGGGATAGGACGCCCTGATCAGCATGAATGTTGTATTTCCTTCACAATTTTATGATAATGATTCCATCATCATCATCTTCATCATTGTCAACATTACTCATCAGTCATCATCTTTTATCGCAGGTATTATAAGCAGTATAATTATGAATGTTGTTTTGCTCAACTTTCATTGCCTGTTTGAGCTCCCATAATCCTCACAACAAAAGTGTTGTTAGACTGTGCTGCCACTGTAGCGTAAGGAGGGACCCTTCAAATGGTTTCACACCTATTCTAAATGAGAATCTCCCTGCAAATGATGGGTCAAATCAGTAGGGACCGTCTGCATGATAAGGTGTGAAGTAAGCATTGGCCAGTTCACACACAGCTGGGTTTGTCCTAGATATTGAATCGTCATGAACCTACTGTAATGTGAAGTGTGCTAGCTGATTGGAATGCACAGTACAGTTTTAATATGTACCCAGCTACTCATGAGAGCATTATGGTGGATCACTATTTCGAATGCAATTGCTGCTGAGAGCTCTAGCAAAAGTAAGAAAAATAGAGATATGATATAAAATATTTTGGATTTAAAATGGGTTGAATGGATCAGAGGTTTCTGAGACAAACTCCTTCATATACATTTGTAGATGCAGATGTCTGTGGATGTTTTAAGTGGTGTACTTTCACTATGGTATTAGCTTTACTTAAGATGTTGGGGTGGGGCAGTTTAAATATGGCTACACAGTTCATCACATTGATACCTGTCATTTGAATGACTTGCATCTTGAAAAAACCAGCAAGTTCTTGTATGTTTTAAACAGTGAGAGAAAAGAGACATATAATCTGTATTTCCTGAACAAGAGATTCTTTTACTCCTGTAAATAAAGACATTAAAACATCCATTTGTGAATACCTGCCATAAATGACTGTGCAAGACATTACCTAAGGCATCATGTGTTATACAGTGTTGACAGCATGCATTACGATATGGCTTCTTTCTCTATTTGAATATTTGATGCATTTGTGCGACAGACATAGAGCCAATGACGTCATAGAGTGAGATAGTATTCCCCGTTCTCTCATCCTTGGTTTAGAGCCAAAACAGCCTAAAGTAGAGCCGCAAGCAACATTCATGTTTGTTCTTTACCATTCCTGACTAATGCAAGGTGGAGGGAGGAGAAGAGAAGAGGAAGAAACTTGATAGCATCCTGAGTGCACGTCGGTCGGCTTTCTTGCTTGTATTTCGATCATGAAACTGTATGAGTCGCGGAAATGACATCCCCATGGCGAGTATTTGACTGACATCTTTTTGTTGTTGTGTTTCTCAGGATCCTCATTTAGGAGCAACGTTTTAATAAAGAAAAGACAACAAAAAAAAACGTGGAAGGAAATTGAATTCTGATTTTGTTTCATCTGTGCCAAGCTAGGATGAGATCCCTTTACAAATTGAATGAATCGCCCTGCCATTTTCATTCCCTGACATAGTTGGTTTCGAATGTACATCCTCCGCTTGTACAAGGTGCTTTGCCTACATTTGTTCCTCTTGACCCGGATCTATTTTTCTGCTGGCTGGCAGTGCTGGGGTAAGAATATGTGTAATTGCAGGACCATCAAGTAAAACAATATCACAGCTGCCAACCATTCCTATTTTGGAGGAATGCTTCCTATTTTTGGCCTTCAAACTTATGATATGAACCCTAGAATATTTACTCTTTCTGAAAACTTCTGTGTAAACAGTATACAAAATAGAATCATTCCTGATGTTGTCTAGAGAGATCCTGCTTTTTATGTTAAAGGTTGGCAGGTATGCAATATTAATGATCCTGATGAGGCTAAACTGGGTAGTGAGTACAACTTTATTATTATAATTTATTTGTTATACTTCTCTTGATTTTCTTGTTTGATGAGATTGTATTAGTAAACACTGTACATGTGGTTTGCTTTGATGCAGCTTATATCTCTCTAACATGAGGGCATTCACCCATGATACAGGACAAATTGACTTAATGGCTGCAATCAATATTCAACTCAGAAATCAGCTGCTAGAGTCAATAGTGGATGAATGATTGTCTATCCATCCATGCATCCATGCACGGATATACTTACTCATGTGCTGATGTATGGGAGGTGGAAGAAAGCATCGCACAAAAACAGATTATATTCATGTTTTTGCCATTTCTTTCCTGGTTTTGTGGTGAGAATTCAAACCTGGTATGTAGCAAACAGTATTTGATGTACTTGATTCTCTCCTCTTCTCTCTCCCCCTCTCCCTCCCTCTCTCTCTCTCTTTTCAAACGCTTACTAATAAAGAAATTAGATTTCATAGGACCTAGTGTATGATAAGTACATGTACAAGTTAATTCACTGTCTTGCTTTCATGCTTTTGCTGTCTGTCAATCTTTTAATCTTTCAAAATTTGGTTTTTCTCCAACTGTTCATGATGAATACAGAAGTGTATGTGTGTGTAGAGTGATACAGAGTGAGAAAGTATCTTGATATTATGAGATTTAGTCCTGATCAGCTTTGTTCAGTTTCATGAAGGGTTTAAGCCTGTACCGGTATATATCCCAATACTATAGAGTTACAGTCCCCACATTTACAGTATCTGTATGGGTAGGACGAGAGATATGAGATGATTTATGGTGGAGACCGGACGGTCATGATGAGATTGATGATATCGTCTATAGAGAGTGATGATCTGAGGTCAAACCAATCAGGGATATGTCTGGACTCGTTTGCTATCCAATGAATCCATCTAGCCTGTAAGGTATTAGTGCTTTTATGTGGAGATTGAGAGAACCTTGTGATCGGTCAACCTTCCCGAGTAACCAGTCTGTCACATTATTAATTACAGTGACTTCAAGCCTTTTTTATGGAGATGTGAAATTAGAAACGCTGACTCCTTCTTGAAATCCATCTCTTTTTTTATCCGATCTAGGTGTACATGTATGGCTTAGGGTCAGATTGCTCAGTTTCACCCATAATCTTCTTGGAAAAAGACTTCATTTTGTTTTCATTGATATTTATGTTTATGTATGACTGTATGCATTTGTTCTTGCTATTAATAATGTTTGTATAAGTCTCAAAGCATAATTAGTTCATTTGTGAGGAGGCAAGATGTTATGGGTTTGTTTGTTTAAACTCTATCCCGAAGCCCATCTTTATTCAGGTAGTCTACCTAGCAACTAAGGAATGACAAATATAAAAGACGCTTTTGAAAAGGGTTTTTAGTTAATAGACAAGGCAATACAGCTGCAGCAAATAACCATTGGAAGGCAATGTATGAATCCTCTCACTGTAGTATGTATGATGTTGGCTGCCTGGCTGAGAAGTGTAAGAGCTTGAAATTTATATAAACTTTAATCCATTCATCTGATCATATATGCATAAAAATGTATTGTCAAGATGATGTTTGATGTCTTACAGGCTCGTGAAACCCTTGAAGACACAGAACTTGAGCTTTATAGAATGAATAGCTGAGGCTAATCAGCAGATATCATGGCAGAGTTAGCTTAAATCATTAATAATCATTTGTTTTGTTTGATGTCTTACAGGCTCATGATACTCTTGAAGACATAGAACTCAAGCCACATAGAATGGATAGCTGAGGCTAAGCAGTGGATATCATGGCAGAGTTAGCTTAAATCATTAATAATCATTTGTTTTGTTTGATGTCTTACAGGCTCATGATACTCTTGAAGACATAGAACTCAAGCCACATAAAATGGATAGCTGAGGCTAAGCAGTGGATATCATGGCAGAGTTAGCTTAAATCATTAATAATCATTTGTTTTGTTTGATGTCTTACAGGCTCATGATACTCTTGAAGACATAGAACTCAAGCCACATAAAATGGATAGCTGAGGCTAAGCAGTGGATATCATGGCAGAGTTAGCTTAAATCATTAATAATCATTTGTTTTGTTTGATGTCTTACAGGCTCATGATACTCTTGAAGACACAGAACTCAAGCCACATAGAATGGATAGTCTAGGCCTAGCAGGGGATATCATGGCAGAGTTAACTCAAATCATTGGTTGTGATAATGGTGCTGCTGAGCTAGCTGGTATACTACAAGATCTCAACTTTATTGTAAGTATTCATTTTTATTGCTGTTAAGTATTTAATCAATTGTTAAAATCACATCAATGAAAGAAATCCCATTCCTCTTTAATAGGGATGTGTCCAAGTTTCTTAAAGGTGGTGCTGACATTCACGTCTGGTCCAGTCCTATCTGTAAACTTGTAGAGTGCCAAAATCTAGTTGCCTAATCAAAGGAGCTGATGAGACTGGAAATATACTGTATATGCTGTCCATGATGGACCTAGGAAAGACTGGAGTACCATGTATATGCACTGAGCGCTACTGTTGCCAAAGCCAAAGCAGGGAATGTCAAGAGTCTTTTGGAATCACATTGCTGAGAACTCATCAAATAATGAATCAGAGATAAGTTGTTCCTGGGTCAAACCAACATTAAATGCATGTTAAATGAAAATTCAATCCAACAAAACTTCAATCCTCTCCAACACTGGTCAATACAACCGTGCATGTTCAGAGATTGAACTGGAGTGTCATTAATATTCCATTGTTACCTGCATTCTTTCATTCAGTCGTTACTGAGAACACATGATGACATAGCAACAGGGAATCTGGGTTCATCTGAGTTTGAAGACCACACCCAAGATTACTACACCCCTGACTTCAACCCAACAGGGGATGCGATCCGCATGGTAGGCATCAGGAAGTCTAGGGATGAACCACTGGTAAGATTGGATTTCTCTTTAGATTGCTCCTCTTTCATGTTCTCGTTATCTCTCTCTCTCTATCTCTCCAATCCAATCCAATCCGAAAGGAATTTGATATAGCGCCTTTTAATCGTAGTTACAAAGCGCTGCACCCCCTGCTCCATTCCGCTGTCTCTCTCTCCCCCTCTCTTCTCTCTCTCTATCTCTCTCTTTCTCTCTCTCTCTCTCTCTCTCTCTCTCTCTCTCTTCATCTATTCCTATCTCTCCACATCTCTGCATCTCTTTCCTTCTCTCCCTCTCTCTTTCCTGTTTCTTAAAGTCATCAAGTCTTCTAAATGTTGTCTCTCCCTTAGGTTAAGTCTTAGCTAAAGTGATTATCTATAAATTTCAATAGAAAGATAAATCACTTATCAAGATAAGTCTCATATACTTAAATGTTCCTGAGGCTTAGGTTTAGATCAACTTAGCAAGCAAATTTTAAACTGAATATACTCTTATTGCCTATCATGCATCCATCTTCCCATAGAGAAGTGTATTGTAGCAGCTGGTCCATAATGATTTCTTTAAGAACTTGTACCTGTTGTCAATGATGATGTACATGCTAGAATTGACTAGCTCATTATTTGTATGACATGACACTCTATTGCCCAAGAATAATCATATCACCCTCAGGATCATTCTTCACGACACCACAACATTCTGTCTTGATTAGATTGTCCCAATCCAGTGTTGGATGCATTGCATCTTGCAGCGGGTCAATGCTTCTAGATCTTCTTAGGTGCGAGTGCCAGGTAGATGTGGGCAGGCTAGGAGATGTCTTTATGATAATGATATATTATTTTGTCTGTCTTTCTCTCAGGGTGTTACATTTAAGGTAGAGGATGGAGAGATAGTAGTAGCAAGAATATTACATGGAAGCATCATTGATAAACAAGGTAAACTCATATCATCGTAGCTCTAAAAAAATCAGTCATAATGGTTTGTCATGAAACTTTCTATTATATGCAGTTACATCATATTCTAGATTGAGTTAATACCTGAAAATTACATAATATAATTGATTTAAGACACAACATACATGCAACCTGAAACCAAGGCAAAGCTTCATAACTAGGGAAACAAGAGACCATACAAGTTGCACTGACTTGTTTCTTCTACCCATCACCAAGGAATGCTTTGTAATAAATGTTCTCTTTGAAAACCATATGAAGTAAACAATGTAGTAAATACATGCAATGTAGGGACCTAAAAAGGAACCTTGACTTAGGAAATACACCAAGTGATATTAGTGTTATAGAAGTTCAGGAAATTGCAGAAAGCCAATGAGATTGTCAATGATCAGGAATAACGTTCATAAGTGTGTAGTACAAATACCCTTTAGCTCCCAGGAGTGGAGATGGTGCACATTTTGTGTGGGCTTCCAGTGAGCAGGGTAGGAACAGATGTGTAATAAAACTACTAACTTTACAGTCTTTTTCACTAGATTCAAAGCAGTTAAATCATTCCTATGGTGTTAAAATATACTTTATAAAAGCAGTAAGATACTTCAAATGTTTAGTTATCAACTATTTTCTTGCTTGATTTGGTCGTAGGTTTATTACACGTTGGTGATATCATTCAAGAGGTAAATGATCAAGATGTAAGCAACGACCCAGACCTCTTGAGGAAACATATCAAGAAAGCAGAAGGGAGAGTCACATTGAAGATTCGTCCAAGCTATCAAGACTGTATTATGTTACCTCCAGTGAGTATAATGATCACATCTACCGACCGATCGTTGTGGTCACTCCTGTTTCCTCTCTAGAGTAGTGAGTGGTCTGCACATTTGACCCTCTTGTTGGCTTCCAACCATTGGTGATTCCTCTGGAGATGACTGATATATACTGATCAAACCTCAACAACCACAGCTCAGTCTTCTAACAGCTCTTCTCGCATTTAAAATAATTTGTATTTGTATTGTGCTGGCCCTGTAAGTTGTATGTCAATGATTTGCAATGTATTCAGAGTAAGAATCGACATGTTTTCACTTAAACACATTTAGTTTTTACTGTACTGAAATATTATGATATTGTCTTGCTATATGAACAGGAGAAGGAAAATTGATCACTAAATATATTGATAAATAGTCAAATGTACCTAAAATACCAGACAATTTGATTTTCCAATATTCCTCAGTGTAATAGTATTTTTTTTTTAAATCCTTTTTTCCATGAGGTGAGGTTTTTTTCCAGCGAGATATTTCATCTCATTTTATTTATTCATTTAATACAAAGTAATTGATTCACAATTTAACTGAAAGGTGTATGTTTAATTACATTTTGTCTATTTTATCATGGATCATTTCTCTGCCCAGATTTATGTGCGTGCATTCTTTGACTACGATCCTTCCCAAGATACCTTATTGCCATGTCAGGAGGTTGGCTTGCCATTCAGAAGAGGAGATATTCTGTGTGTGGTGGAGAGAGATGATATGGAATGGTGGCAGGTAAGGTCATGGGGTCAAAGGGCAATAGCATGTCAAATGTACTATTCTGTATCCATTTGTATCTTATTGATGTTTTAATCTGTAATTTTGTATTGACATGCAAACAAAACAAATTTCCAATATTGGAAGTTAATGTTTTGTGGTGTTATTTAATCTAAGAATACTTCAGAGGAGACAATTGTATTTTTACAGTTCATGAATGGATGTTGAACTGCTATAAACAGTTCCGAGTTTTGTTTCTCTGACAACTGACTTGTATTTACAAGTATGATATGATGTTGATTTCAATCACTTTGCCACCTGTTGAAGTGTTGCATGTAGGTGTCATTCTTTGATATATTTTCTTTCAGTCCGTATACTGTAAATTTAAGAATACCGGTATGAAACTATTCAGCAGTTGTGTGTGTATATTCAAAAGATGACTACATCATACTGGATTTCCTTAATAATCAGACATTTGCAATGATTTTAAGTTTGTAATATACTAGTTCACGGTTATAAGCGCCATTTTAATTCATGAGTAAACAAACCAAATAACCTCTAGTGGTCAGTGGTTTATGCATAAATTAAGATTGCGCCCATGCAAGTGATGATGTGCGTGCAGAACGCAGCGCGCAGGCAGTGATGTCATCATAATTTGCATGGGCGCAATCTTAATTTATGCATAAACCACTGACCTCTGGAGGTCATTTGGTTTGTTTACTCGTAAATTAAAATGGCGCCAATAACCGTAAACTGGTGTATTGTCCTTCTGAACATTGTAGAATAGGTCCTTTATGACATCACATTTTATGAGGTATTGTTTGTGTTTGTATTCAGGCCTATGTAGTAGGAGAGGAAGGACAGTCAGGTCTTATACCAAGCCAAGATCTAGAGGAAAGAAGGAGAGCGTTTGTACCTCATGAAAACATCTATACAAGTGAATTTAGTAAGTACATGCAGAATAATAATATATATAATACATAGCCCGGCTACTATATGAATATAATCTACTGCACTTAATACAAAGTATCACATTCATTGTGCATACATGAATGTATTTGGAATGTTAATTTGACAATCTTCCATCTGAATAAACGGGCGGCTCTTGGACGTTGGTCAAGCAACAGTGTGTGTATTCACAGCTAGCATAAGTCAGAAGATAGTGTGTTTTCTGATGGTACTTTATTGCTTTATTAAAGAGACATTTACTCCCTATGATTTTACAAGAATTCATCAAATTGTGAATGTAAAAATGTAAAAGAAAACATGCAAATAATGCTTATTTTTAGTCTTTCTATTCTTCATACTTCTTTACCATTGACCAATAGAATGTCATTGTCTGGAAAAGTTATTTTATGTTGATTTTATACATTTTAGCTGTACATATGATCCAAGTGATTGGTACTCTTTAAAATCTAAACTAACAACACTATAATCTCTACTGATTTGTGTGTAGTTGCCTGCGGATTGGTGAAATCAAAGAAGAAGAAGCGTGAGAAGTACGAGACGAGAAAGAATCATCAGTTTGACCGATCGGACATTGTGATCTATGAAGAGGTTCAAGAGATGCCACCGTTTCAGAGGAAGACTATAGTTCTTCTTGGTGCTCAAGGGGTTGGTAGAAGGACCCTCAAGAACAGGCTCATTGAGCATGATTCATCCAAGTTTGATGTACCTATTGCACGTGAGTATAATTCTAAGTGTACGTAATGTATAGTTTTCTCAAGGGATTTTAATTTTTGTGTTACTTTGAGTAGCATTCCCGTATCAGGAGGCTGTATTCCTTGCAACTTACTTTGAACCTTTGAGACACATCTTAGAGCAAGTGGTATGAGGAACTAAAGGCATTATACATGAAAGCAATATCAGTAAAAGTTTGATTTATTTCTGCTTGGATTCAAAGAAATCCAACCATGTGTATGTATTAGGAAATGCAGTGTGTTATGGTTGATGGCCATTCCATCCATTGTATAATTTGTCATTGCATACACTCATTTCTGCCATGAATATGACCTGAAAGCCAATATGATTACATTTCTTCAGCCTTCTTCTTCTTCTTTATGTGCCATGTCCTTAGACGTTGGCGACCATGGAATGCCACAACTCTCTGTCCCATATTCTATGAAGTAATTCATTCGCCCCAAGATTAATTCCACTTTCAGAAATCCCACTCCTTAAGCTACTCATCCACAGAATCCTCCTTCTACCCCTACTCCTCCTCCCCTCTAATTCTTCCAGTCAGTGCAAGATTTTCCAAACCATTCTTTCGAATAACATGACCCTTCGGGCTTACATCATGGATTCTCAGTGACTGATTGCTTGTTTGCTTGTGTCTCTCCCCATCTAGACACAACAAGGCTTCCAAGAGAAGGAGAGAAGAGCGGTGTTGAGTATCACTTCGTCCTCCGCAGTGATATGGAGCAAGACATCCTGAACCATAACTTCTTAGAGTACGGGGACTTTGCTAACAACCTCTATGGCACGACCTTTGACTCTATCCGAGCGGTCAAGCAGAAAGGTCAGATGTGTGTGCTAGATGTCAACCCTCAGGTGAGAGGTCATATCGATTCAAGGATTACTCATTTATTGAAAGTACTTAGCCTGTGATATGTGGTCAATATATCTTATTTGTAACCTAACTTGGAGCTAACTATACACAGACTAAAATCTGAAGAAATTTGTGTTTCTTGATCATTCTTTATCATTGTACCGATGAAGTTCACATTGTTAATGACCTGTCATAGAGATAACTTAAGTTATTTCAAGATTATCATAATATAATATGTACTTCCATATTTCTAATAGAACAATTTAGTAGTACAGAATTTACAGATATGATGGTAGTTTGATATATTTAATATTATCATTGTACTCTCTATAAATGCCTGTTTGTTTCCTACAGACAGTAATGTTCCCTAATAATGCATTTTTAGTATTTCTTATTGTATTTTAAGATACAGTTTTAAAAGTATTCTTATTCTGTTAACCATATCATAACATGTGCGTGTATTATCCCTCTGTTTTTGTTACAGACATTGAAGCTGTTGAGGAACAGTGAATTCTTGCCTTACGTGGTGTTTGTATCATCCCCTGATCTAGAAACTCTCAGGATATTACATGAAGCGGCAGCATCATCAGAAAAACAAGTCGATGTATGTTCAGTTAAAGTGACACCTCCAAGGCGTTATCTGTTTCTTTGTAGATTTTTACGTTATTGTTTTTCCTTGTCTGAATCCTTCTTTGTTACACTTCACTGTTAATTCCTATATCTGCATGTATTCTTGTGCAATATCAAACATTCTTGTACTGTATATTGAACATCCAGCTCCAACCCGAAGTACTTCAAAATTCTTTTTGTTTAATTCTAGGAGTTAATTCACTAATTTGAATGATAATTTGAAATTGCATTGAGCAAAGTCATAATTGTAGACATAGTGAAGGTAACTTGTCTATGCAACTGGAGTTTAAATATGAATAATGGAAACGAAAAATTACTCAGTTTAATCCTCACTACTTTAAGTTCAAGATAACAGTATTTTAGACCATTGTATAAAGACTATTCTGTCTTCTATTACTTATTAGCTCCTGCCAGGGCCCGTTGCACAAAATTTGCCATCAATGGTAACTACCATGGAATTGGAAACCTTGATTTTCATTGGCTGTTGAGCCCTGTTACCATGGTAGTTGCCATTGATGTTTAAGTTACCATCAATGGTAAGTTTTATGCAACGGGGCCCAGGTATTGTTGATTTTAATTGAGTCTCATCTTGTTTCTTATCCAGGATGCAGACTTGCAGAAGACGGTCGAGGAGAGCGCTCGTATCGAGAGACAGTACAGCCATCTCTTTGACTTCACCATAGTGAACAGTAATCTAAATGAATCCTGTCAGCAGCTATGTGGCGCCCTCACTGCTCTGGCTCATCAACGGCAATGGGTACCTATTGATTGGGTCTATGATGCTCCCTGACACCCACCCAAACAATGTATGGACAGTGGTGGAGATGGTGCACATAATAATTCCTCAATGCACTCACTGGTAGATGAGGAGGAATAGACACAGACTGAGCTACGCAGAGATGGTGGAGATGGTGCACATAATATTCCCTCAATGCACTCACTGGTAGATGAGGAGGGATGATCACACACTGGACTACGCAACATGCTGATAGGCACACACAGCAAAGACGATAGACACCAGAGACGTCAATGAAGAATCTAGTGAAGATGGTGCACACAATGTTTCTTCAATGCACTCACCTAAAGGACAATGGATTGGGATAAAACTACATACTATAGTTCAAGGCCACATGATTTACAGCAAAGAGCACAGGGAAGCAGAGAATGTGGTGATGGAGATAGTGCACACATTACTTGCACAATTAGTGATCCAAAGATTGGGAGAGGTTTGTAGTGAGCTGAGATTGCAAGGATTGCTCTTTACTAAGAGCCCCAAATAACCAGAATATGAAAATAATTATGATTTCTGCAACATTCTGTGAATTGTTCAGTTTGATAATTGTGTCTCTGATGGTTTAATCTTCCCTGGATTACATGGGGATAAATAGGCCTAGGTTCATATATACTCTAGAATTAAGTGATAGACCGAACTACCCAAATACATGAAAGCAACCAAAACCCATCATTTTTCCTAACCGACCTTTTGCTAGCATCTTCCCATATATAAGCTATGTGAAATATTGCTAGTGTTTTTATCCCAAATATTATTGTTTTGAGAATATAATATACAGTGTAAACACTAATCATGCACCTTGATAAAACAAATATGTACAATAGACTTGAAAAGTGTTCAAAAGTTTCAAACTAACATTTGTATCAACATGACAAGATATCAAACTTTGTTAGATTCCCAAAAGGAATGTACAAAATTAAAAACTCTTTTCCTCTCTTCTAAAAAGGCAATCCATATGCTTTGACCAATGTATCATTTCATTTTCGAGTTAATGAATAGTGCTGAAATATTGAACTCTGTGTATATTTTCTTTACTAATGTATCATCCACTCATGGTAGAAGTGCTTATTTTAGTCTACCAGTGATCAAAGAATTGGTATTGATAGATCTGGGTTCAGGAAGAAATTATTACCTTTGGTAAGATGAATTTTGAACAATTATTTGAAATGAAATGATATACAGAGTAGTAGTAAGGAATGAAAAGATAAGATTCTTTCATCCAATTCCCATGTAGTTAAGGAGCTAAATTCCTTTCTTAGTGAGATTTTAATAAACCTGCAAATAGACTTTTGTGACAATCTGTATTTCCTCAGGGTTTTGTTAGAGTTTGTATTCAGTGTTAATATATGCAAGGTACATTTTTCTTTGATGTTGTATTAATATAATATTTTTTTTGTTACTGTGAAATAGTGTTAGACTTGTTTGTTGAGCTCATGTTGTATATATTTTGGAGATGCATTTAGCTTGTCATGACACCTTCTAGTGCAATAGAACTTTAAAATAGAAAAAATAGAATAAATATGAATTTCTGCCCTGCTTTTAGCACCGAGTGTTAAAGTGGTTTAGAATTATGTAACCACAAGCTGTGACATGTCACCATGGTTAGTATTTTAAATTATTATTTTATTTTCATCCTACATGTTATCCTGCATGTGCTTAAAGCCCATGTACTTTTCATCTTTTTGTTGAAAGTTCAATTTTTTATATTGTCCACCTGCATTTAAGAATTATGCATACCAACGAGTAAAGACATACTAAAGCTTTTCATCTTGCACTCGTAAATCTCAAGAATGTAAAGGAAGCCGAAATCAGGCAGTTGAGGTGGAAGCTAAAGGCACAAAGAAAGCAGGAAAAGAACGCTCTGTTCCTTTAGCTTCCGCTCATAGTGTCTGATTTCAGCTTTCTGATCAATCTCGCGCTTTACTTCGATGAGTGCCAGACAAAAAGCTTTAGTATGTCTATATTTGTTAGTATCCTTGATTTTGATGTACAAATCATCTCTTTAATTCTTCATACATACGATGTACTTAATAAAGGTTACAAGAAGGTCTATATCTGAAATGCTCAAATTGCTTACCTTTTTGGTGTTTAATAAAAACAAACAAAAAGTCCAGAAATAATTAGATTATCTTGTTAGCAAAACTTTTACATCTGAAATGTTTCAATGTGTTTACATTCATTCAAGTCTGATGAAGACTTTTTATTGTTGAATTTCTTAAAGTCTAGAGACTTTGTAAATAATTGTGGAAATGAAATAGCAATTTTATTGAAATATGGACTATAGTTTTTAGTCTTTACACAGTGCCATTTGGAGAATAGAAATCAAATTGGAAATAGTTATGAGAAATGAATGTTATCTGTTGTTGCTTGTTATCATTCACATGTTATGCACATTTTGCCTTGAGATTGTATTTTATATTTGTATATCAGCAATGTCTACTACTTTATGAAGTGGAATCACAATTATTAATAATCTTCTTTTAGAGAAAGACGATTGTCTGAAATTCATTGATCCATGCCATGTCAAATTCTGAGGCTAAAACACATTGGAAGATGATTTTTAAATGCATGTGTCCAGCCATCTGGTTTACAGTAATTTATTATAGTTTATAGTAAGTTATTCCTTCTGTCAGCATTATAATGTACTAAAGTTATTTAGTGTGATGCACAAATCCCATAACACTGATGCCCCGTTGCCACAGATAATATGTACATCTAGGAACTAAGATTCAGCAATATATTCACCACAGGGATGATATCATAGACCTTAATGGTGCTTAGGTCTGCTTTGGTTTATTGCTTACACACACATCTTTTACATTGTCATCTGGTTATAGGAAGTGTAGGGTTTTTTGTGGTCTAGTGGAGAAGTCACAAATGACGGATCCTGAGGTATGGGGTCCTGCCTTATCACCATCATCCTTTGGCAAGCATTAATCTACATTTCCCACCCTCAAATTTATACCGGTACATGTAGGCGAGGCAGCTGATATAATTTTTTTGCTTGCCTTATTACAAGAAATATAAACTTTTTATCATCCTGTTTGAACAGATGTGCTGCATGTACGCTGCTGCATTTGAACTTATTATTGGACAGAATCCAATTTGCAATTTCTGAATCTGAATCTGAAAATGATACAGCTCAACACTCTTGGGGGAGTAAAACAAGTCTATCACTGAGTAGTACATTTATGAGTTAATGTCATGAAGCACAAAGACTTTGAAAACTTGTAGTTCTTTTGTTTGTAGTACCCATGCAATATCTGACAGGGTTTGTAGAGGTCATGAGCATACTCATCATGTCTGCATGTAATGTCTCAAACTAAGCGATCATTATGTGGAAATATAAATTATGATTGTCATGTGGGTAATCACAGACAAATAAAGTCAATTAATATTTATTCAGATTGGCTGCGTAGTAGTATAACTGGATTTCATTTGTATTTCATTATTTATGACGGGTACAAGCTTTTTTATACTACGGAAAGTGGCAATTTAGTATGGGATTGTCAGTGAATTTTGCTTGAAATACATGTAAATTGCAGATAGGGATGGCCTATGTTGACTTTTTACTATTTAAGTTATGCTGATGATTTTGCAAGTTAACATCCAGAATTTCAATTTTTCAGGTTTGAAATGATTTTCAAAGTTTAAAAGAATATACGCCTCGCCAGATAAGTGGGAGATGATAACAGTAATGAATAAAATTCATTTAGAATGTGTATTTAGGACAGATTATTGTGAATCTGTACAAAATAATTGTCACCAAAGTTTGTACAAGATTTTATTAGAATAAAATGACAAAATTAGACCAAATATAAAAACTTCTCTTGTGCATTATTTTTCTACTCTAACCCAATTCTTTTTGGTTAACTTTAACCCTAACCCTAACCTTTTACTTCTGAAGATATTAAGCCCCGAGTTGCCAGAGCAAATGTCTAATCACCCTTTAACATCAGTTTTGTAAACAACACTACAACATACCATTTTTCTTTAGTTTCATCCTTTTTATTCCCTCATTTTCTTTTTTTCATATAGTATATGAAATGTACAATTCATATTTCAACAATCAACAAAATAACAGTCCAAGAAAGTTGGAAACCAGCTGTCACACCAAACCTGATGGCAATACTGAAACATCATTGAGTACTAAAAACTTACTGTTACTTGGGTCAATACAATCTTATCAATCTTCAATATAATGTAGGAATGAATTACACAAGACGGGGACCAGTAGGAAAGTGAAATGAACACAAATATTGTTGAACAATTCTTTTCAACAAAATATTGGAAACTAATACCATAGGTTTAAAAACCACAGCAAACATCATGGTAATATGAGTTCACAGAAATTAAAAATACATATTTTGCAAGCAAACTTTGGTTTTGTTGTTTAAAACAAAAAGCAACATACATGAAATTCTAACCATGTAAATTGATATCTTTCTAAAACTGATAATTGCACAAAAATTTCACAGTCATTAGAATTACAATGAGTTGTACAGTGCAATGAAAGTAATAAGTATAATTTAGATGAAGATCAGACAGTTTTTTTAAATATCAAACTTTGAAATGAAATTTATTGGATGTTCACATCCCATGTCATTTAGCTCTCTAAAAATAAAAAAAAATAAAAAATAATAATAATACCGGTAAACAAATAAAGAATGAAAGTTTTGAAAATTTGATGTCTAGATCCCTTTCGCTTCTGATGTATATGTAGGTCCTTGGTCAATACCCAACACTATCCAAAGTATTAACTTCAATTCTAAACTAAACAACGTACCTAACACTAACCCTCATCCCAAAGTAGCATATTATCCGATTGAAACCCTCATCCTAATACCCTACACATTTGAGGAAATAGAGCCGAGAGCATTTGCAACCAGATCATACATTATTGGTGCACTAAGGCTTATACATCATGTTTGTCAAACACTGTATTTGTCTCTACAATTAATTAACAGATGAATATTCTACAGAAACATATTTGGCATTGATAGTATGTATAAAATAAGAATTGTTAAAGACGAACACATTGGCATATGATCATAAAAGAAGTTTTATGCTTAACATCTCGCAAATATCTCACTCTTTCAGAACAAGAGGCTTAAAATTATCTGTATATATATATATATATATATATATATATATATATATATATTTCGTCTGATCTTCCATTCTCAAAAATCATATCACATACATGTTCGTGATTCTATCATACCAGGGAAGTCATAAGATTCTATACAAATGCACCATTCAAAAAATAACCCATGTTCTATTCATAAAACAACAACAACAAAACATCTCAGTTTTAATTAAAACTTGAATCTATAAACTTGTCATTGCGTGCCTGGTAGGAGCATGCAATAGGATGTGCTAACAATGGATGTTAGAATTGTATTCTGAGGTTTGAACAGTTCCCTTACTACATTGATGCAAAACACTTCAGTCTGTCTCTGCATCATCCATATTGATAGCTGTCAAATCTAACATTTTAACAATTTGACAAACTTTGTTTTTGCACCCTTATGTTAGGCAAACAATGATATAATAGAGAAACGTCCACCTAAACATGTAGACCTCTTAACAAAAACAAAACACTAAACACCATTAATACAATCCTAAACTTCTTAATTAAAAGAGCAAAATATCCAATAAATGCTTCTCTTATTTTCCATAAAATTAAAGCTGAACAATAGCACTACCAATCTAATTGGAATATAATAGCAACATTTAATAGTGAAATACATATAAATATACTTTGAAGTAAAATGAAAGAGGGTGGCCAGTCATTTGATCTATCATGGCGACTAGGCTTTCTATATCTTTTTTTTTTTCTACGCAAGACTGGCATATCAAATACATGTAGATGATATAATTTTGACTACCGTACTACACTTTATGTTGGTATAACAAACGCACTCCCGAACTCACACGGTCCACTTGATGCGAACCATTTCTCTTTATTGCTTGTATTGTTAGCCTTTCAAATTATTTGCAGCAGTAACACGTTTGTAATGGATACAAGTACAAGTATCTCATATTAAATGTACTGATATTTACATTTAACAGCACAAGAAAGCAGTATATCTTACATGTATATGATTACTGAATGCTTCATAGTAGAGTTTTACTTACAGGCAGTCACTCTCTGATATACTTCCCTGCATCCCAGCAAACTAAGGTATCATTTCACATAATGGTCATCAAATTATTTAAACCGTGCATAATGCCATCTCGTACTAAATTTGCATTCTAAATCAAATGCATCTACTGTGTATAAGGATAAACTAGCCCCTTACGATTGATTTCAACTTAATATGTTTTTTGTCCATACGCAAAGAAAAGATTTGACATAATCATTGAACATATTTTTTCAGAGAGAAACTCAATTCTGTATTAGTTTATACAGGTATTTGTTACTCTGCTATAAGCCACAAACTTCAATAAAACTTTTCAAGATACATAATGCAAAAGTACATTTAAAGGGCATCATTCAAGCTTAGTGTTACACGAAATTAAAAGAGGTTATACATCAAATAATGCTAGCACATGTCTTACTGTTTTTAGTTGCTGTCTTACATTATAGCGTTATACACTCAAAGGAATACAGTCATGTGACACAGGCAAGTACAAGGTATGCCCTAATTTGGTACCAAGTTCTTTTGAATTTCATGACAGAATTGTGAACATAAATTGATATTTAAACAGATCATTCATTCTATCTGATATATATGATAATAGTCAAATTTGACTGATTGCCATATAATACTGAATACAACAACATTCAATGTTTCATCTGATTTAAGCTTTAGTAGGGCTTTCAGCTCGATATAGTCATCAGATACACTCATGCACCTTAGATATGGGTGGTCATGTTATTCAATTCAATTCAAATTTTATTGAAATAGAATCCATAATTTCGGATTATCTTCAATATGTTTTTGTAATCATTACTTTATTTCAAAATAAAGTATAGCAATGCATAGAACATTTTAGCCTGGACATGCCCATGTACCATACTGTTTTTACCTCCATGTATACAATATACTGTCATAACCCTCTTAACATCCCTATGCATCATATCATGGTATACACTGTTCCTGCCCTCGTTTATAATCCTACATAAAATCTTGTATAAATGCATATAAATATAAATCATACAGATATATTGGTATAAAAATTCATACATGTAGTAATACAATATATATACATGTGTATGATTAATAAAACATAGACAATCATTCTTTGAAAAGCAAGACAATAATAAAATAACTCCAGAATTATTATTTTCATTCAGCTCTGCTTGGACTTTTCTCAATGTCCCTCGTTTCTCACACAAAGACAATGAAAGCTGAAATAGATAGAAACAAGTTACAGCACAAGATAATTGATAGATGGAGAGTGCAAATAACAGCAGAAAATGTAATATAAAAGGGAGATTTATAGTTTCACTAGTGAAATGTTTAATAATGAATTCTTTAAAATGAAATTATTCCAAAAAAAAGAGATAAATCTAAATTGAGAGGGAATGAAGAGGAATAAAGAAGTGATGATTCAAAAAGAAAATCCACTTTACGATTTAAATTGCCACCCCCCCCCCCCCCCCAACCTCCAAAAAATATTCAAGACTGTAATCTTCTGACTTCATACAAGATATAAAATCACTGGATGTTCAGATGTTATTACCGGTACAAGGTTTCGGACATCATTAGTACTCTATTACATATATGCATATGTATAAACTTAAATACATACATGTATAGGGAAGTAAATCAAAGAGTACAGGTGAACTAATAAATATGTGTATACCATGTTTGACAAAATGTACAGTAAACAATTTAAAACCATGTAACCTGAAAAGATAGAGATCCTAATAAAGATTGCAAAGCGTAGGATAAATAAAGAGAAAATATCTTTCATAGGAGTGGTTAATGGCACTATATGGTAGGGGATGGAATTTTACTATGAACATTATAATCACAACAAATATTTTTAAATTTCACTATTTTCTTTAATATGAACCAAATTTAACTAAAGATTTTAAATGTCACTTTATTGTAGAAGGGAAAATTGATCATAATATTCAATATAGGATATAGCGCAAAATGTATTCCTGGTAATCAACTTTGGACCTACTATACTAAAAGCAGAACAAAACTGAACCAAATATCATTCGCTACTAAACAATACACCATTGATGAATATGTATTGTCTACATTATCCCATCAAGCAAAGAAAGTGATCACCATTGACTTAAGACCCTATATGCTTCCCTACATGACACAGTGACATGTGCTACAGAACGACGTTACACAGTGCAATCTAATTGTACAGGTGCTTGGGACGTTTGTTGATAAGGATTTGGATGGAATCACCAGTTGTTTGAAAATAAATGATTCCACATTTCAAACAAGAATCCAGCAAATATTAATCAATCAATGCATTAGGCTAGAACACATTGACCCAAATGGGATTTATACCAACCTCACTAAATCATCCCATTGGACATACTAAACTAGAGAATATTATCTACCTCACTGTCGTGGAGAGAGTCACAAAGACTTTCAAGAAATAAATCTAGGGCAATTTCAATACCTTCTTCTAATGCCTACATTAAAGACATAATTCGTCGCCTGGCTGGCAGAAGGGTGTTAGCTCGAATTTCAGGTAAAAAATGAAGCGCTAAGCAGAAGGGCGTTAGCACTAAATCGCCTCAAACTCTTATAAAACTGACTTATTTCTGAGAAAAAAATTGTGACCGTATTCTATTATATCATTTATTAGTCTTTTAAGTTTTAAACCAGTTTTCGGGACGGAA